TCATCATCATCATCATCATCATCATCATCATCATCATCATCATCATCGCCATCATCATCGTCATCACCACCACCATCATCAAATATTTACAATCCAACCCTACCTGCGGCATGTCGCAACCCAGAAGATCCAGAAGAACCCAGGGACATTTGCAGATGAGATGCTGTCCCATATATGACGGTGAGGATGTCCCACCTCAAACATGGGCCTGAAAACACATTGTCAGACAAGACTATATATAGTTGTAGCACAATGCCTGGTCCAACATCAACATACCCCTGCCCATGTATTGAAGATGTCTTGTCTGGGCATGTGCCATCCCAGAAGTTCCTTGAACATGACCCTGGATCCCACCATGCTTGCTTTGGATCCCTGTGCGCCTGTGCGCGGTGACCAGCAAAAGCGGAGGCGTTTCATCACATCGATGGTGGGGTTCGAGAGGGTGAAGGCGGAAACACCACCAGCAACGGAGAGCTCACCTTGCGCCTGGGCGGCTGCCGGAACAGCGCGTCGGAACGGCCGCCGTGCGGAAGGTGAACGATGACCTGGGAGGGGATCCGGCCGCCCTTTCTGAAATCGCTTTGCTCTACGAGGGTTGTTCAGCCATTGCAACAAAGGTTGATCTTCCAGCCCAGAGGGTCAATAGGGTTCAGCCTTGCTCTACCAGGGTTGTCTTATTGATTCTTTGTTCGCTTTGCCCCAAGCAAGTCGACAAAACATCAAGAAGACACCTTCCACCCGCTTGGATCCGAGGCGCGAGTTCGAGGCAGGCTTGCGGGACATCGGCTGTCATAAGCCCCCTGGCGCGATCGGACGCGGGGGGTTCATGTGGGAGGGAGTTGCGATGCAACATGCGACATCGTGCACTGAAGACTTTAACGTACTTTCAACTACTTTACACTCCCTGACGCCCTGAAATAATCATGGAAAACATTGGAAGACCATGTGGTTGTAGAGGAAACTTCTCATCCAATGGATGTGCTGCATAGGTGCTGCATATGCACGCGTTCCCGAAACACTTCCGCCAGGTCACCCAGTCCCACCCCGCGAGTGGATCAATCAAAGTCATTGCCCAGACCCTTGATGGGACTGGAAGATTTGCACTCCCTGAAACTAACATGGAAGCGGAAAATGGCCACTTGGAAGGCCAGTTTCCTCTCCAAACAGTACAGGGGATTTTCCACTTCCATCTTAGTTCCATTGAGGTGATTCGCTTGCGATCAACACCATGGGTTTAGGGTTTGATCTTCAGAACCTCGTTCCGAACCACGTCTTTACCGTTTAGAAAGACCAGGTCAACTTGGACCATTTGGGTTACGGATCGCATCCAGTGAGCTGCGGTGAACCGGCCGAACCTGCACCCGTCCCAGGTTCCGGGGGCCCAACGAGAAGGAGCGCATCGGAGCCGTCTTCAGGCGAGGAAGTTGGGCAGGAAAAAGAACGACTTGAGATCTTCCTTGGTTTTGACCGGTTGACCTGCCCAGTTCGGTTGACCTGCCCAGTTGACCAGGTCTGCAGTTTAGTTCGGTTGACCTGGTTTTGTGGTCTCAAGGTCTCAGACAAAGAATGTCAATGCGAGGCCGATCCTGAACACCTTTTCCAATACCTGAACCCTGGCCTTCAAGTGTCTCCCGCGACGTGACAGGTTTGCGGTCACCGGATGTCCACCCAGGTTTTGGATCGAGGGCGAGCAATCGCTTGTACACTTGAAATTCTTGATGTAAATTCCCAGTGCGCAAGTGATTGCCCGGCCCTTGGATCGAGGGTGACTGAGAGAGAAGAACTGAAAGCTCCCTCAGTTGTTCAGCCGAACGGAGCCAATAAGTGAAGCTCAGCTCCCGGAATCCTGTGGCCAACTCCAGCCTCTTAGTTGCCGCAAACTAAGATGTGCCTACATATGGCATGGGAGAACCAGTTAATATTTCGGAGTTTGTTCAATCCGTTTCAACAAGTGAGGTTTAAAAGTTGTTATCGTGTCAACTCCGTGTCAAACAATCTGTTTGATATATATGATATCACAAAGGTGTTATTGACAAATCCGTTTCATCGTTGCACCGCGTTGCACCGCGTTTTCCCGGGTGCATGGTGACGAAGCAAGGACGAAGCAAGGAGCAAACTTGGGGGACAGGAGGAGCAGACTTGGCCTAGGCTTTGAAGACCTGCTTGGAAGAATTCAGGGGCATGTGAAATGCTCCAACTGCCCTCGTTGTCGAACAAAATCCGCCTCATGTGGTCTAGGCACATCAGCTTGGCCCTGCTGTCCGAGACATGTTCGAGTGTCAAGCACTAGCAGTTAAACATTTTCAACACAAGACAAAGGGGGCTGTTGAGAGTGTCAAAGCTGTGGATAGACCCCTACCTTCGTGAAGCGATTTGAGGGTGGGAGCACGGTGGGTGGTTCGGTGGGTGGCTTTACGGTACAGGGTCTATAGTAAGCTCGGGAACCCTGGAGCCGGGTTTCGGCTCGTGTTCGGCGTAGCGTGGCGCTTCTCTCGCGCCTTTAGCGCGCCGCGTTTGCAGGTATTTGGACCCTGGTGGTGAGGGCAACGTGTCCCTGCAGGAGTGGCAGATCTTGGATCAGCTGTGGAAAGAGCCACTGGGCACAACAACGGTCGGCGTTTGGCGGTCAGAGGTCCGACAGGGCCAGCCTGGTCGAAACGCGATCCTGTTCCAACCTGACTGAATTGAGATCGATTCCGGATGACTCGTTTCTTTTTCGGGGGGGGTCACTACACGTTTGTCTCATCATGTGACCTGAGCTGATGGCAAGCAACTACAGTCATTGGGTGCCAAGATTCAGCTGCCCAAACACCTCAACCAGCCAACAAGTACGTTCACTAGTGGTGGCAGTGTTTGTGCTAGCACTAGTACTAGTACCAGTCGTCGTCGTCGTCATGGTCGTCGTCGTCCTGGTAGTAGTAGTAGTAGTAGTAGTAGTAGTAGTAGTAGTAGTAGGAGTAGCAGCAGCAGTAGCAGCAGCAGCAGCAGTAGCAGTAGGAGTAGTAACTAACCGGTCAGCTAAACCTCTGTAAAACTTCTACTTAGAACCTCTACCACATCCTAGAAACAAAAACTGCAGCCCCGTTGTTGTTTTTTTGACCCTCCCTCAAAAGGTGTTGTTGTCTCTACCCCCTCCTAGAAACAAAAACTGCAGCCCCGTTGTTGTTTTTTGGACCCCTCCCTCCAGAACAACACCTCAAAACACTAAAAACGGACCAGCCCAGACTTCAGTGAAACAAGTCCAACAAGTCCGCCTACTGACGAAACCAGCATTCGCTCAAACTTTCAACCGTATCCCTAACCTTGTCCCCTTGAAGTTCCAAAGTTGCAACATGCGACAAATATATTGGGCGGCTCTTTTTGTTTCTACCAACAACAACAGCAGCAACAACAACAACAACCACCAAACAACAATCCAGACGACGACGACGGCCGCCGCCACCACCACCACCAGCAGCACCACCACCAGCATCATCATCATCATCATCACCACCAGCATCATCATCATCATCATCTTTCTTTCGCGACGCCCTCTGCTTCGGGAGGTAGCGTTGACCCTCTTGAACATTTGTCAGGTCAGGCACTTCGTACCACGTATGGTCATGAAAAGGACTGAGCGATCTGCAAAGCAAGTGCGGCCGTCGTTTCTATGGCCACATCCTGCTGCATGCGCTTCAAGAATCGGTGGAGCATTCCAAAATTGCGAAAACAAGGACAGATATGTTCGTCCATGCTCTCCATCCCACTATAGAAAGGTTGGCAGGCGCACAAACGACCTGGTCTGGCCTGCGTCATGAATTGGAACGTGAGTTCCTCACACGGCTGCTCAGCTTCATCCCACAGCGCAGCATGGTGGAGCCTCAAGTGAGACTTGAGGTCAGGCGGCTGCATGTTGCACAGCACACAGCGCCGCGTCAGGAGGCCGCATGCTTCCAAGGAGTCAAGCAGCAATCGAACGTCGAGACGATCGAGAGCGGGCAGCCAAGCATCAAAAAGTGCATGGTCCTGACTGAACGCTTGCTTTACGTGCAGCATTTGTTGTTCCTTAGTCAAAATTGCCAAGGAGCCTGAGTCAATCACATCACAGATCTGAGCTCCGCCATGGTCCGTAAGCTTCAGCCAGAGGACACAGCAGTTCCTGAGCACGTCGTCCGGAAGTCGAGTCACATGCACTGGAGGCGCTGCATCATCCAACAAAACCCAGTGGGTCTCATCCCAAAGTGCAGTCTGGTAGTGTCCTGAGTGAGGGTCATGACCTACATGATGGGAAACCGCAACCACCGTGTATGGAATGTTGTCAATCTCCATGCTAAAGTGCACGAAGTGAGGTACAAACACTGGATGGTTCCAACTGAGTTTGTGAGTGCATTTGCCCCCATCTCGATTGAATCGGTCTATCTGCACAGTGAGTAGGTCGGCTGGACCAGCAAAGGCCTGGAGGCCATAAGACTCAAGTGACCATGCACTGAACAGCTCTTGCAGCTCGGTCGTATCTTCGTTTTCCGCTGCGCTCAGATAGAGGCGTACAGGACAGAAGTGTGCCCCGCTGTCCACCGTGCGGACAACTCCATCTGCCTCAATCCTGGCCTCCCAGAGATTGCTCAGGAAACAAGGCTCCACAATGGGAAGCAGGAACTGGAGGTATTCAACTAGGTCGTGCTGTGCAAAGGGACGGGCCCATTGATCCATCAAAGAAAGCCACTTGCCATTGCCCCATAGCAAGACAGGCTCACCATCATCATTGCTGACGATGTGTTCGAAGATCTCTGGTAGGACCTTCCATTGGTGTGCCTGCAAAGGCCCCACTTTGATTGCACCCCATAGCAAACCCTGGACGGCTGAGTTCATGTAGCAGCAGTTTCCTGGGTTTTGCAAACCCCTGAGTGTCTGTTTGGAAGCCAAGCTCATAGGGTCTCCAACATCCGGCCGAGGTGGCCTGCCAATGGCGTCCTCTGAAGCGAGGCTGGTCGCATCCTGCCCAAAATGAGTTGCCATAGTCCCGAGAATGCCAGCTCCTGCCACAGGGAATGCATCTCCAGCGAGTACTTGTGGTTCATGGAGAGCGAGAGTCTCCACGGGATCACCTGTGGAGTGGCCACCGTCGGCTTGGTCATGTGCTGCTGAATCTGAGCATTCGGACGTAGGGCGCTGAATCTGACGATCACCGCATGGTTCTGAAGCAATGTCAGAATGCGAGTGAGCTGAGTGGTCACATGGGTCATCGTGAGTGGCGTCTGATCCATGTTGAGCTCGAGCTTCTTGAGCTCCGGATTCCAGTGCAGGAAGGGGAAGTTTAACTCTCGAGCATTGTCGTTCAAGGTCACGTACTGATGCTGCAGCAAGGTTTTCACCAGGGCGTCCTCCAAGGGGGTCTTCTGCAACTTCTGAACACGGGCCAGGAGCTCCTCCAGGAGAACATGGAGGACCTTGATCCGAAGAGGAATCAATCTGTCCTTGGGCGCCTGTTGGTGCCAATCGTCCGTGGCCTGCATCATCTTGACCATGCTGGAACCTGGTCCGAGACTCAAAAAAAAGCATGAAGTCCTGGTCCACCGCAAGACCCCTCAGAGTGTCTTCGTGTCGAAGAACCAGCCGTGCAAGGGCCTGTACCACTGGTCGAAGTTCGGCGTCTTGTGGATTGTGGCTCTGGTCTTTGCGAGACTTGTGTTTGCCCTTGCCTTTGCCTTTTGGCGGCTGGTGGTCTGCTCTCTGCCTCTTCGGGTTGGGGGTGGGGTCCACCTCCATTGGTGTCAGGGACTTGAGCACTCCCCACATCTCTTGCACCGGATCCTGATCGTTGTCCATGGTGTCCATGGTGCAGCCGACACAATAGAGCAGCGAGTTGGAGCAGGATTGGACACTCGTGTGCTGCTGTTGAATGTGTGTGGCAAAGAGAGCAAAGATCGGTCTCCGGAAGCATGTCCAAAAGATATCTATGAAACAATGCCCCACGTGTGCAATCCCGGGGATGTTGATGTCTGAGATGTAAGTACATGTCGTGGGTCCCAATGAGTCGACCACAAAGAACACAGCACTCTCTGAGGGCAGCACAGAGTTCCGGCAAGGTGAGGATCTTGGAAAGTTCTCCACGGACCAGCCATTCGTCCAGGTCTGGATAGTTCAGCTGCAGTGTAGGGCAGAGGACCAGTAGGTCCAGCTTCAAGGCCTGCGTGAGCACAAGGTCAGGGCCAGAGTTGCGGAATTTGTGAAGATCATGATGCACCATCAAGGCCAGATGAGTGAAGACCGTGCAAACATGGGGTTGGTGGCCGGGTACAAGTACAACCCAGTCGAGAAAGGGGGGTGGAGTGTTGAAGCCACTCTGCATATCTGGTCACCTCCCTCCAGCGATCTCCATGATCCGAGCACAGATGTCTGAGAAGGGAGGTGGAGCTCTGGGAGAGATGACCACACAAACCACACCTAAGACCAAGGCGCCGAAACAGGCTTTTGTACCCCACCAAGTGATCGAACGTGCCCCCACTGAGTCCAGCCAAAATGACAGGGTGCCGCCAAAGAAATGGTGTCTCGGCCATGTCCTGAGTATAGGCCTCACATTGGTTGCCGTCGATGTGGTGTTTCAGCTCTCTCAAGGTGGTGAAGGTGGTTTCACAATGAGTGCATTGGAGCTGACCAGGAGTTTGGTCCCTGCTAGGATTGAACGTGTTCTGGGTCGTCGTATGTGGATGTTGCATGCTCATATGTTGATGGAGGCCGGCGGCAGTGGCGAATCGGTTGGTGCAAATGCCACAAGCAAAGTGAGCCTGCATCCAAGTGTGGGCCTGAGGGGTAGGATCAGGTGCATCCGGGTGAAGGTCCCTGTGTCGTCGGTCACCAAGTGCAAGGCCCAGTTGTTTCATCACGGGACATGTGTGGGTCTTGGACTTGAACTCCATGTGACAATATGAGCATGGTGAAGTCACTCTGGCTCGAGTGATGTTGGGAAGCACTTCATGCATGATCGTGGCAGCACCTGAATGTTCCCTGTTCATATGCGCACTCATCTGCTGAGTGCGTGCAGCCCAGTAGCCACAGAGAATGCAGCGATGCGTCAGGAAGGTGCAGAGAGGATGATCATCCTTGAGCAGCTGCAAATCTCCAGCATCATAGATATCCAGGAGTCGTCGTCGGTGGCTGGTCAGGACCAGCGGCGGTGCCTTGGTTGGATCCAAGTGGGTGCAAGTGTGAGAGCTGATGTGATGTTTAAGGTTTTGCCAGCTGATGAAAGCTACACCGCAGTGTCTGCATATCGGGCGTCCATCAACCGCATCCCTAGAGATTTGGAAAGTTGGTCCCTGCATCACCGCAATGCCATGTACATGGATGAGATGTCGCCGTAATGTGTGAAGTCGTCGAAAGGTGAGACCACACTGTTCACAGTTCAGACCTGCCTGGGCCAGCTCTGGTGAATCATCGGCGGCATCGTCCATGTGATCCTGCAGCCATTGGTCAATGAGTTCTATGGAATGAAGTATGTGTTGAACATGAGTACCATGAAGAATATCATCAGGCTGCAAGTGGCCCTGATTCCGTTCCCACCTCTGAATGTGGGAAAGAAGGCGGTGACGCAGAGCACTCAACGGGTGCTCCAG